CCCCCTTGGCAGATACACCAACCAATCATTAACACCCACCTATCCCAATTCAATAAAAACAACACAAACACACAAATTATAATCCACAACTTCCGTGAAATCCTACAACATCATGAAGAATTCATGGAAATTTACACAGATGCATCCAAAACAGATTCTGGAGTAGGAGCAGCAGTTGTTACACCTGAGACTACCCTAACCTATAAACTACCGGAAACCAATACGATTCTCACAGGGGAACTCTTCGCAATCCTCCAAGCGCTACGATTCGCTAAATCGAGCCTATCTAAAAGGTTCCTGATTATAACAGATTCCTTAAGCTCTCTACAAATACTTCGTCGAATATACATGAACCATCCAATAGGAAGACTGATTAAAAGAGAACTTTTTATCATCCAATCATTGGACAAAGAAATAATATTATTTTGGGTTCCGTCACATATAGGAATAACTGGACATGAATCGGCCGATAAAAGTTCTCGAGAAGCAATCAATAACCCGAACATGTTTATATTGAAAGGGGTATATTTTTAAAAGAGAATAATTTTTCCAGAAAGTAAGGTTTTGGCTTTGGAAAACAAGTACTTTTCCGGCTAATAGCTTTCTGTTCATTGAACTCATTTATGCATTATAGAATTTCCCATTTCACGTATGATATGGGTCGTATTTTTCAAAAAATATTTACTATTTCCTGATATCAGTAACTGATATGAAGTAACAATGGGTCTGAAAGGAACATACGGTTTCTGAATTCTCATAAAATAAGAGAGGTTTACAGTTGGAGGTACTTCAAAATTACTATCTAAATGAAAATGTGCAATTACATTTCTCTCATACCCATTCAATTTTAATTCTTCATAGATTATAGAAAGCAAGAATCCAGAAAAAAATATTTTTTGATATTTATTAATACTCTCTTTCACAATTACCCAACGGAAACGAGAAATCGCTNACGTGGATGACACCTTCGTCATCTGGAAACATGGAAGAGACGCCCTGAACCGTTTCCTAAACCACTTGAACGCCCAACACCCTAGCATAAAATTCACCATGGAGGTTGAGCAGCACCAACGGATAGATAGTAGAACGATGTGGTACCAGACCAATCCACAAAGTGTATCGAAAACCCACACACACACAGATAGATACTTGCACGCACTATCGAACCACCATCTCAGCCAAAAGAGAGGAGTCATCTCCACTCTAACGGAACAGGCTCGGAGACTATGCCTCCGAGATCAGGAAAGCCATGAAACCGAAGAGCACCACGGTTAAAAAGCTAAAAAGGATCAGATGGTTGCCCGCGCATATCTACCGTTTATCCCTATGGTTACGGACAGAATTGGAAAACTATTGGGTAAACACGACATCGACACAGTCTTCAAACCCACGAGGAAGATACAACAAAGCCTCAGGTCGGTTAAAGACAAAAGAGACCCATTATCAGTGGCAGGGGTCTATCGCATACCGTGCACTTGTGGGAAGGTGTATATCGGAACCACCAAACGATCCATGGGAACAAGACTGAAAGAGCATAAAAGGAACTGCAGACTAGGCCAAGCGGACAAGGCAGCTGTGGCAGAACACGCGCTTAGAGAATGAGACCATATAATTTTGTTTGAAAACACAGAACTAATTGTCCCCAACTAGGGATACTATAGCCGACTGGTACGGGAGGCAATAGAGATCCACAAACACACGGAGAATTTCAACAGAAAAAAAGAAACGGTGAACCTCAATCGAATATGGAACCCATTTTAAGGAAATCGAGAATAACGAACGGAATGACAACAGGCAGCAAGATTGTTAATGCTCAAGGTTCAAGTACAAGTACAAGTACAGGTACAAGTACAGGTACAGGTACAAGTACAGGTACAAGTACAGGTACAAGCACAGGTACAAGTGCAGGTACAAGTACAGGTACAAATTCAGGTACCAATACAACTGATTACCTGACAAGGCATAAATACGCTTTACGAAGCCTAAAAAGTTAGTCATCGGACAGCAAGCCATGTTGATTAAACTTCTGAAGAAGCTAGCCATTCGCACCAGCGAAACATCAGGAAGAAATTCCAAAAATCCATGGCTTTGAAACTCGAAAAACAGTGACACTGAAAACCTCAGCCGCGAAAGTCTAAACCATTTTGTCAAAAACCAATCTGTCAAAAATGGCCTATTATTGTAAACGTCAAAACATTTTCAGTATAATTCGCTGTTGGGTATCCCTCAAAAAAAAATCCTCAATTATTCGTTTCCTATACGATTAGTGTCAATCCGCGATAACAAAGCTCTCAGCCTATCATTATCAATCATGTAGGTATACGACAAATTTGCGTTAATCTCATCTTGTTATGCCTGCTGATACAAAGCATGACATGTTACGTATGACGTTCGTTCCGGGGTTTGTCTACCCACCCCGGAACAAGCGAATTGTTGACGCGATTATAATTTGATGAAACAATTTCCAGCTCCAACCTTAGCGAATACCTCGTCTTGCGAACAACGCTAATAAAATAACTGGCATGCTCAAGATATAACGAAGGAGATTATTTGTTCGAATGTACCGGAAGAATTGCTCACACGAATGGTTGTGACTTTTGTTGGAAACCTTGAGCAAGGAATTCCAACACAACGTACGAGTGTCCTACAAGATATACGAGGTTGGTTTGAAAGTTATTGACAGTTACTTATCAAAATTTCAGCCATTTTGGATGCGCAGTTGTTATTTAACAGTCGTTTGAGTGATGAAGTGAGTGTTTTCATGAAAATGGACAAAATCGAGTATCGAGCTGACATTAACTCTGCTTCCGATATGTGAACTTTTGTAACATTTGTAGACACGTGGGGTGTGTGAGACCCCAATTAACATTTTTTGAATTGTAACTTAGTTGATATGAGAATTATATACTATAATATTTTTTTTTGCAATAAAATAATTTTCGATTTACCAAAACGAGCATTATATCGTTATATTTCGTCTTTACCAAAACAATGGGTTCTATCAATGGAAAAAAATAAAGATTTCTTTTGCGGCATCAACTGCTAGGTTAGGAGTTGATGCCGCAAACGGAGGCGACACACATTGTCTTCCGACAGTTTGAGTCTCTGCATATGATGATTCAGACGACAGTGACCCGTGAGAAGGCCTGTTAGACATCGTAGTTCATCCCCACTGTAGTCCAACAACTGTTTGGTTTCAAGCGTCGAAGGCTTAATGAACATCTTGGAGTGAGCCAAT